AAAGGCATGGCTAAGTTTTCTTGCGGTCACGTTCTGGTCCTCTTCCTCCTCTTCTCAGGTCTGTTTATTTTAACATCAATCCTTTGTTTCGTAAACTTGATGATGGGTTCGTTCTACCAATTCTCATTTTTTGATCTTGAAACCTCCGATTTGGAGTCTTTGACCCCCCTTAATCCCTCTTTAATTGGCCGTTTACTGTTACATCTATTTCAGAAAATTAACTCAAATGAACTCGATCTGTTTGTGTAAATATATTCCTCATGTTCATGTATTTTTTGTTGATATTGTTTCGCAGCAATGTTGATGGCGCAACGTGTAGATGCACAAGATCCATGTAAATTCCGATATCCTTTGAAAGGACATTGCACTGAGCCATACTGCACGGACAGTTGTGCGAAACGACACTACAGCATTTTTGCCATTTAGCTACGGACAAAATTTGTATGTATATGGTCAAAATCTGTAGGTATATCCGTTCGAGGCCTATACATACGGAGAAAAAAGTGTAACTATATGTCCTGTAACTATAGATAATTAACTACGTAAATGTACATATTCCTACAGTATTATATGTCGTAGGTAAAAGATCAATGAACCTATACTTACATTTAAAAATTTGTAAGTAAAACAAAATACCTACGATATATATCCGTAAGTAAAGAACAATAGCAACAACATAATAATGGTTGTCATATTAACTTTTAATAACTATATTTATCATTACTAAATTTATTTTATAGCAACATCATAAGTCATTACGTAAAGTATAATTTTACAACAAAAATAAGTTGTTATGCAAAGTAAGTTCAATACCCAAAAAATATTGTTACAAAAAAGAAATTATATAACTAAATTAGTCATTATTAAAAGTGTATTTTCACAACGATTACAATTATTACCAAAAAAAAATTTCTCTACATCATAAATTATTTTGCTTAAATAGTATTGGGGACAAGCCTACTACATGGGATATAAAAATCTCTCTACCATGTTGAGTTGTTGGTAAAAGAGTTATTATGCAACTATTATAATTGTTGTGAAAAAATTGTTATAGTAACCATTTAAAATGTAGGTAAAAAAGTTTTTCCTAACTTTGTAAATTAGCTTAGAAAATGAGATTTAGCAACAATTATATGTGGTTGCCATATAATAATTTAAACAACATCATTCATTGTTTTGCAAAATAT